TAACCATTCTATGATTCTATAAAGTTTTCCATTCCTTCTGAAGAGTGATGTCCACCAAAACACTCATGTAAGAGATACAGATTCAACAGTAGGGAGGAAAACTACTCAAGTCTTCCTGATAATTCATCTCTAGTCTCTCCAAGACCAACAGAAGATTGAAAGCAATGCCAGAGCATGTGGTGATTTTCATAAACAGAGTTTCTTTTCTGTAAGGAATGGCACCAAGAAATTCAAATACGCACAAACATTCCCTAACATTCACCAAGTGAGCTATAATATTAGGAAGTTTTGCTTAGACACTGCAAGAATTCAAAGAGGAAACTGAAAAGCTCTGTGGTCTTAATCAAGCAGAGGATTAAAGCAGACCCAACTTCACTGAATTCCATCCAGACGATCACATGCATATGAAATTTGTTCATGTAGCTTGCTAGATTGATACCACATCTACTACTTGTTTCCAAAAATCCCAATCAAGATCCCTTGATTTATTTTAAATTAATTTCTTCTTAAAGTCATATTACTATACTGAGTCTGAGCCTGTGATACAAAGAAAAAAAAGCCCACCAAAACCCAAAGTGTATATTGGTGCTACCATTTTTATAAAGTTGTATAGAAACCAGGCAACTTACCAGCATAATCCTCTTAGCATAAAGAAGAAGAAATAAGAGAAAAAGAGAGAAAGAGTTAGGATTTAGTATTCCTAGGAACAGTGTATGAATGCCATGGCAAACTAAGCAAAATAAAATATGCATGTTTCTCTCAAAAACTGATTTGAATTAAGGGGGAAGCACAGCATTCAGTTATTTTACAATTAGCATTCAAAAAATAATAATTTTCTCCTGACTACTTTCTGAAAGAAAGCTACATCTCCATATTTTTGTGAAATAATATAAATGAAAGAACATTTTAAAAAATATATATATTTTATCAAAGTAATTAAAATTACAGGGTAGCAAACTGGAACCGGTCTTCATTAAAAAGCGGCACAGTTTAAAAAAACATGGACTTTTCACCCAAGTACTATGCAATATATGAAACACTCAAATAAAGAAATTGCTGCAAGCAGCTTGAGAACAGTTTTGATTGTGGGAGCCAGTAACCAAACCTATCCTTTGCGTGTTAAAAGAAATAACTAGTAATCAGTAGAGCACAAGTTTCCTTAATTCTTAACCCTGAAGTGGTGAGTCATAGTTTGACCTTCCATTTTCCAGTTTACTTAAGACATGACTCAAAAGTTACCTTGCTCTCCATCCATCTCTACCTGCATCTTACAAACTGCATTCTCAAAACGGGGATACTCCAAACAATTAGTACAACCAACTACTACTCAGGAACCAACAAAATAAATTTGCACGCACACATCAAAAGGGTTATGCATGCAAACTGTTAAGTGCACAAAAGCAGGTCAAAAGAGCAAATGAGGTATGCCAGCTTTCCACACCAACACTGGGAAGCACTCGTTTAACATCTGTCTCATCACTTCAGGGAACAGACATTGGAAAGCTGATGGCACTAGAACTAGCTATATGCCTATCTGATGTGGATTAAAACTTCATCCTTGCAATCAGCCATCATCAGAGACTTACAGGATACTGAGACCTCAGATACAAGTAAACAGATGACAGATTTTTTGTTTCCTTAAGATTTCCCTTAAATCCAGTGTTTCCTGTTCTCACTGTATATCCCCAGCCACATTTGCCCAAAAGGGTGGAAGGCTGGAGGGAGATAGGCAACGCTCCACGGATTCTGTCTCAGTTGTTTCTGAAATCCTGAGGGAGAATTTTAAGGCCATCCTTCCACCCAGGAGCCTGTACGAATGCTTCCTTATTACCACATGCAATGGATGTGGAACCATCAAACATGGGAGAACGAGCAAGAGGAGGTTCAGTTGCTGCTCATACATGGCAAAACTGTGATCAGGGAGTACATTTTGTCTCTCTGAATCACCACATCTGTTTAAGTCTATGCATAAAGCCTCAGTGGGCACATATTATCTACAGCTTAGGAAAACAGGTTTTAACACAGATTTATGATGCTTACCTGGGTTTGAGGACTTTGGATTGCAATTTTTTATTAATACCACTCAAAGATTTTTATTTATTCTTAGTTTTTAAAATATACCATGAAAATGTAGTTCATGTCTGTACTACATTTTCCAGTTGTTTACTACTTGACAGTTTTATGTTTGACTGAAGTTTAGGAATTGGTTTATATCTTGAAGAATCAAGACATAATCAAATAACAAAAGTTCAGGTATTATTCTTTCAGTACCATTATTATCCTCAAGCTCACCATTAGGTAAGAGTAGCTCCCTTTTCATCAAGGGAGCAGAAAATGCTACCTG